GTGTCTTTAGTTTAAATCTGTGTCTTTAGTTTTAATCCGTGTCTTTAGTTTTAATCCGTGTCTTTAGTTTTAATCCGTGTCTTTAGTTTTAATCTGTGTCTTTAGTTTTAATCCGTGTCTTTAGTTTTAATCTGTGTCTTTAGTTTTAATCCGTGTCTTTAGTTTTAATCTGTGTCTTTAGTTTTAATCCATGTCTTTAGTTTTAATCTGTGTCTTTAGTTTTAATCCGTGTCTTTAGTCTTAATCCGTGTCTTTAGTTTTAATCCGTGTCTTTAGTTTTAATCCGTGTCTTTAGTTTTAATCTGTCTTTACGTGTCTCCGTACGTTCTCCGGTCTCTGCAGAGGATCAAGGCGGTGGCGGCCCCGGTTCGTGGCGGAGCCAGCTCCCGTCCCGCGGACCACCGTGGACCCAATGACCTCACCCTCCCGCTGGACCCCAACGGGAACCAAGGTCTCCTGATGAAGGCCCCCACCCACACAATCGTAGAAACCATGATGTAAAGGAACGAGGGGGCGGGTCTCAATGAGATCACGCTCCGCCCCTGTCCTCAAACGCTTCTCAAGCTAGCTAGCTCTTTTCTGTCTTTGTCTTTCTGGTGGACTAATGAGGGTTTAAGGAAACACAAACTCACATTTCAAATCTTTTACGGTGACTTCAGACCTCGCAGCATCCGGCCTTACCTTTCATTTCTGCTGTGAGTCGGGACGCTGCAGCGAGGAGAGTTAGCTCGGACCTCAGGTCAGAGCTAGCTTCTGTTGTAGCCACAGGTTTAAAGTTTAAAAAGAAACATTTAAAACGCTGTCGGGTTCAGCTTGGACCTGATTGGTTCTCCTGTGCACAGTAGCTCCACATAAAGTGCGTCATCCAGGTGTGAATTCTGAACGACTGGGTTTCACAGCAGCGAACAGCAAACAGAAGGCCTGCTGCTGCACAGAGCCAGGTATCTGTGAGGATTTGAAGTGTGACAGTTGAACCCTTGAGTGTGTTGTGTGTGGCGTACTGTACAGTAGTAGCTATCAGTCTATCTATATTTATCTCTATCTTTGTGTCCTAGACCAGTTTACAGCACACTAGTTACTGCAGTAGACACTCTTGACTCAAACGTTTCGATTCAGTTTTGTTTTTGTTCTGCAGAAGAATACATTATTCTAATATTATTATTAGTTTATTTTATTGTTTTGTCCTCTGCAAGTGTTTAGGTCGTTTTATTATTATTATTATGGGTATTCACTATTAAATTGCTGTAGTTTTACTTATAACCTCAATTCTGAAATGTTGGGATGTTGAGTAAAATGTCAATAAATTGCAAATGAAGTCATATTTTATTCACATTAGCTGCGTTTCCATTACAAATGTGCGCAAAACTTTGTCGATATTCTGTTAATGTTAAAAAAAAAACACAGTTTCGCAACTGTGTTTCCATTAAGTAAAAAATGTTATTAAAGTCACGTGAATACGTTTGTTCTCATGATAAGTCATTACAAACATGGCGGCGATGGATGTAAACACATAGCA